AGAAGATTTTAAGTGAATTTGATTTCTGTTTTTTTTCATCATTATGGAATTGTTTAAGTTTTATTTTAAAATCATTTTTAATTTTTTTTACCCCTTATCCATATACCTTAAATAAATGCATACTTTTAATTTTAAATTAGAAACCCCCTTATGAACACAGATTTTAATAGAGAATATTTTTCTAAACATTTTGATATGAATCACACTAGTATCAGATTTACCATTTATGAATTATAAAAGTTTAAAGTTTAGATCGGAGGAGTAGAGAAGAGTCATAGATAGGCAATTTATGAATAAAGCTTAATCGATTTTATAAAAATTAGAAAAAATAGAAATCAAATTCACTTAAAATCCTCTGAGATAATTGCTGGTTTATGATAAAAAAAATCACCCTGTATATCAGTTTATCTGTTGAAGTGTATGACCGCCTGGCAGTAAATGTTAACAGTCATTGGTGATTGTTGACATTAACTAATCATTTTAGCGAATATTGTCGATTATTTCAAATTTTTGCAAAGCATTCCCCCATTCTTACGGTTATATTTATTTTTTTACAATTGAATCATACAATCTTCGTCTCCACTTTTGAAAGCAGCTGTCGATACGTTGTCTAATTCACGTGGTTGAATTCAATGATTCTGGTATATAATAAAAACGGATACATCCACATCTGCCTCGGTGTTCGTGAACGCATAATCCCAGACCTTGAATGTTCAGAAAGAATGAAAGAAAAACTCAACAAATTCAATTACATCAGAATTCTGGAACTCTGATCAGAATACTAGCAGGTACCAATACACAAAAACGAATGACCATGGCTTTCTTGTTTCAAAGAAGTAATCACCAATATTACGTCATTCCATTTAGACTGTGCATTTTGGAAGCACAGTCTCAAAATATTTACAGTACGTATTGGAACCTTCAATGGAATCCGAGAATCTAATTTACTACGTTAACAACATCTTCATCATTTCAACCACGTTCGAGGACCACTTGCGATACATTGATCAGATGTCAAAAAAAAAATACATAACAAAATAAAATAAAAAATACGTAACTCAAGGTCAAGGTTAATGTCAACCTTGACTTTTCTATCAAAAATCTTGCTCCGATTTACAATGCACTTTTTCTGTGAGAAATCTGATAGAGAAGGTACTTTTGGAAGGTCATTTTTCAATTTTCTCAAGGAGTTTTCTCATTAAATGGAAAAAATCGAAAAAAACTGAGGAAAAACAGGAAAATAGGTACAATATCAAACATACATTATTTAAGCAAAAATATAACACCTATGTAATTATTATAATATTGTATACGTATTGTTGATAAAACAACACTATCAATTGAATTCCGCTCAGAATCGTTTTTTTCTTTAGCAATGATATATCGTTGCTTACAGATATACATTAAATTTCTCCTCTACTACCTTCCCTACTTCTCACCTACAAGAATGGTGGCACCCGCGTGCGAAATATGTCCGACATTTTAGTTGTGGTTTTTCTCTTGTTGCCAAGAACTTGTACTAAATTCTGCTAAATACTGACGATTTCTTATTTTGGAGACTAAAGAAAACACTGTAAGAATCGAATTATTTGGAAAATTGTGGCTATGGCCATACGATTGTATGTGATACTATAGATGTAGTTTATATTATATTTAGAAATCGATCGATGCGTTTGATGACATTAACAGCGTAAGCACTATACTTGTACTGCACAAGTAATAGTATAATTATAGTGTCGAAATAATGAAGGCGTACTCGAGCGACGACGGAGTTCCAGGGTTCAGACCATGACATTCCGCCGGAGTCTTGTACACGAAAATCACTCGAATGTTCGGCGAGCCGTTTTTCTTTTTCTTTTTTTTTTTTTCTTTTTTTCTGTACGCCGCATATAATTCATACATCTATCTATATATTCAATCGAGCCGATCTATATATACATATTTGTGTGCTTGAACAATTTACGGCCGCGTGTATCCTATGGTGTATAGGTACTACATAAGCGGTATATTTATAAAATCAAATGTGACATTTCGGCCGGAGATTTTCGCGCCACACCACCGCGTCGGAATGCGTTCCGCCGCTAAATTCGCCATAAATTTCCTTCGTGCGCGTATTATGCTTATGCCATCAGACTTCGGGATCAAAACTTCGGGGGTAGCTATACTCATGCGGTGCACAGTGGGCACAGCGAGTATATTTTGTTGCGTACACCAAACACGTCAAGGGCGTGCAAAGTCCCCGGTGTCTTATCATATTTTTAAAAAAACGCTCGCTGTAATTTTATATACTCGTAAAATGTCAAAAGAAGTGTTGGGTCAAACCACCTAGTGTTTTATGTTCACGAGTAGAAATCTAAATATACTAAATACGTCAATTTGAAAATAGTTGACGGAACAATTTTTGAAATTCTTCAAGGAATTTTAATGTTATTATGTTGTTATTTATTTTTAGATTCGGAGTGGAGCGAGAGATACATTGGTTTTACTATGATAGATATGCGTGTTTTTGTTTTGTCTATAAATACATTTTTGAACGAAAAACTTACTCCCGTCGAAAAATAACGAAAATACCTGTTCGTTGGATTTCGTTGGATCTATTCGGTGCGCTCAAGGAGTCATGTTTTCAATGTTTTTAATTTGTACGCAATAGCGTACGTTTTATGCCACAAACACTGTTTTAATCTAAAAACGACAAGAGACCATGTTTGTTACAGTTTCAATCTAGTTGTTGGTTAAGAAAGGGGTTTTTTTTTGATTTTCCATATAGTTTTCCTACTAGTAGAAAAAAAATTGGAAAAAAAAAAACGGGAATGTTTACGGAAATAATGGTTTCGTGGTTTTCAAATTTGTTTTTTTGTTGTAATTCAGTAAAAAATATTCGTAAGGAATTGAAATTTTAACAGGAAACTTATACTCGTCTTATATTGTTTCTATTGTTGAGCTATTTACAGGCATTTCATGATATATTTTTGGCTACATGTTTTAGTATAATTTTTTACATGTAGTGTTTGGCTTTTTTTTTTTTTGTTAAACCGAGTTTCATCGCAAAATGTACAGGTACGTGCGGGGATTGACTTTCAACAAATCTGCTTTGTTTCAAAATATTCGTTATTGCAACGGGAAACGACACCGAGACACCGGCGTCGGTGACAATTTTCACGTCGATATAATTGACATAAATAATTGGCAGTAGCAGAGTCCCTGACGAAACCAATATTTGAGACGTTTTTTCGAACCTTCAGATTTTACTATAAGTATGTGCGACTAGAACTTGTATCACTTTTAATCCGCCTATGAAACAACTCTAATTCACGAGTTTAATAATGTCATTCGGCCCAGAGGGAGGGTCCACTATAAAAAGTGTACAAACATAGGGAAATAGCGTAGATATTATATTTATACATAACGGACATTGTAGGCTGTAACAGTTTCTATGTTTTGGCGAAAATTCATTAAAAATGTCACGATTTCGTTAAATTTGTTGAGATTCTGCGTACGAGGACTGTATTGGTTTTAGTAATAAATGAGTTTGTTTTTTTTATTCTATCTGTTAACAATTTGTCTACCAGAAATCTTGGTCCGATCAAAAAACGACAAATTAGCTTTCTCGTTACATTTTGTATCTAGTTAGTATATTGGAGAGGTAATTTTCTGATTTCCGATTTCCCCTATAGTTATCTTAATAACTGAGAAACAACGGGAAAGTTTACGGAAATAATGATTTCATAATTTTCAATTTAATTTTGCTGTTGTAATTCAATTACAAATAACAATAGAACACTGACATTTTCAAATAAAAAAAAAAAAAAAACAACTTATGCTGGCCTTTTCAATACGTGATAATGATGCGTAACATAAAATATATAGATTTTCATCTATTTAATGATATCTGACATTTTCTAGTTTGTTCTTATCAATGTTTAAAAATTCAAATATCATACCGGTTTCGAGCAACAGTCGATTTTCATCATCAGACGGTGACACTTTGGTGTGGTCGATTCGCAAATCGCCCACCATGTATACCACGAGACATGTAAAGTGTGTTTAGGTAACTAAATATACGCAAATTGTAAACAATTACTACGGTCATTTTGTCGTCGCCGTTTCCACGGACGACGCGCGTGAAAATATTGTTTTCTGGAGTTGCGGCAAATTTGGCATTTGAAGTAGGCCGAATTTCATATTTTAAGTTTTTTTTTCTCAACGCAACCCCCCCCCCCCTCTCAGTCGATTCTCTGTAGCGCCGTCAAGACCGTTTCGGTCCGTTTTTCTCGGCGTTTCGTCTGCACGTCACGGCGACGGTGACGACGCGCACTTTTTCTCGTTGGCGTATTTTTTTTTTCCCCCGGCGCCGCGCCGCCGCGTGACCGAATCTCATTATTTATTGTCAACGGGCACATCTAACCCGGTAAATCGGCCGTTCGGTAGTCATCATTCAAATCGCGTCTAGGCACACGTGTGCGAGTGGTTTTTTTTTTTTCTTTTTTCTCGCTTCTGTTTCACCGGCTTCTGTATCTATTATGGACCGTCGTATTAAATAATACACTATTATGACGTACACACCACACATCTAGCGATTTCACGGCCGCCGAAAATCCCCGGGTTACAGCCGTCACGAGGCCGCGCACTCGCCTCTAAAATTAAACGCCGCGCGCGTTATTTTCGATGGTCGGCGCGCGCGTTTTTCTTTTCGGTCGTCGATGCTCCGCGCTCCGCGAAACGAGGCGCTCTCGGCGTGTTCGGTAAGTAATAATCCTTTCTTTCCGCCCTCCTACCCCACCCACCGTCTCCAATTAGTGTACCTAATGCGTCTGGTGGGACCAGATTTTTACGTTTGGTTTTTTTTTTTTTTTTTTTTCATTCTCGACGGCCGTATAGTTCTATGAATAGCGAGAAGGGTCACAGTGTGCAGTATAAACAACAGTATAATAGTTATAATATTGCATAACACAATGGAAACGGACACGCGCGAGTTTTTCCCTATGTAGTTTATTGATTTATTTTTGTCGTCCTTATTCTCTTTTCGCGAACTTTACCGAAATCGAAGAATGGCGAGATACCATCAACTCGACGAATCGTTCATTCGCAATTGCACGATGTTTTCGGGCTAGAACCGCGTCACGACAGTGAAAATGCAATACGAAATACGCTGGTAGAAAAATGTAACTCCGTTCGATTTAATTTGTATACGGCTGATCAAAAAAACGTAAGACGCCTATTATTTTGGAAATCGTAAACTTTTCGAAATTTATTTTTTAGAACATTAATAGGAACGAGTAGCTCTAAAATGTTACGTTAGTCTTTTTTTTTTTCGTCGTCCTTATTTTATGGGATGAAACCACTACAAAATAGCCGCCTTTTCCCCATTTAAAATATTTCTAAACCTAAACATCATTTCATTAGGGAAACGTCGTCGTTACCCATGCTACAGCCGATTTCCCACTTGGACCAATATAGCCTACCCGCGGCCAAAAGTAATTTTTATCACGCAACGGATTAAACGGATTTTCCACTAAATATATAAATATTGTACATACTGTATATATATTTTTTTTTATCGACGTTACGCGCCGTCGCTTTTTCATAATTATTGTCATGTGCGATGCAATTATTATCTGGGGAAACTGATTTTTTTTATTCGTATAATGCGTTCAGTAAATATATCACGTGTCGTTCAGGACGATTATTTTATACGGGCTACAATAATATTACGACACGCGCTGAAATTTATGTAGACTACATAGGTAGTCGTTTCGCGTTTCGTATGTATAGTTTCGGCATAAATCACGAAAACAAATCGGGAGCTTAACGCGTGCTCTCGTGATACGCATTTGTGTCGATTTCCACGACGTATTGTTTACCGGGTATAGAGTAAATAAAATAAACGATAAAAAGTGTATCACGTGCACGCGATAATTGAAAACACTAATATACAATATTTTTCTGTCCGTCGTATTGAAAAAAAAAGAAAAAGAAACACTTCTCTGGAAACGAATTGGTTATAAATATATATATATATACATGGTCGATATTATACGAGTAATATATTGGTCGGGTTTATTTTATGTTTTCAATTTTTACCAGTACTCCTTATATCAGAAATGAGTGTCCGCTTTGGATTTTTAAATATCAACCCCCCCCCTCTCTTTCAATCACAAATAGAGAACATTTTTCAAGTAATGTCGGCATGCATAACGCTCGTATCATATTTACCGTTTATGAATTATAACAGTATCCAAAGCGCAAGTAGTAGGGGTAAATATTGAAAATAGAGCTTATAATTGGTTCCGTAATGATTAAAAAAAAAAAAAGACGTCCAAGGATAATGAGGACGGATGTAGCCACTGTTATAGGTAATTTATCGTACACCAGTAAAAAACCATTGCTAACGAAAAAACATTTCTGAATGGAATTCGGTTGATAGTGATGCTTTGTCAACAATATAATGTAAGTCATATTATGGTAAAATAATTAAATAGGCAATATATATTTTCTTTAATAATATAAGTTTGTATATTACCGATTTCTCGGTTTTCCTACGTTTTCCCGGTTCTTAACATTTGTCGAGAAAACTCCTGGGAAAATCGAAAGACGATCTCCTAGTCAAAGTGCCTTCCCGGTCAGATTTCCGTTCAGAAAAAATGCCGTCACTGTAGATCGGAGAAAAATCTCCGGTAGAAAAGTTGTCCGCAGTAAAAACAAAAATAAACAAACATCTTTGCAAAACCGTAAGCTTCTTCGCTCCACCCGGAATACAAAAACAGAAATCGGATTCGCTTAAAATCCTCCGGGGGTATTCCGTCCGTCCCGTATATCCGGCTCTCTGCGATAATAATGCAATCGGAATGGCCGAATGACGGACAAAAGTGGTAAACCGGCACGACTCGGTCGCACAACACGAGTCAATATTTATAATTATGTTTAGGTACGCGTGCGAGTTCGACAAAACACAATGTCCGATACAATGCGGGCGCGCGTTAAAAGATTACGGAAAATAATAAATTATACCAACGGCTATATGCATCGGCAGTACGGTAACAATATTATTATTACTATTCATTTGCGCGCTACGCCCTGTGCGAAACCGATCGAAATAAATAAATATGTGTGTATAGAAAAAAAAAAAAACTGCGTAATATTAAAATGACTGGCGGTGTACGGGGATTGACTCGATAAAATGACGTGCGGACAGCCGAGACAGCGGACCTAAATGTACCTGTATAGGTATAGAAAACTCTCTGCGAAACCGAAACGTTTCAACGTGTATTACAATACGATATAATGAAAACTGTAAACATTTTAAACATTGTGGAAAAAGAACGTTCGCGAAAAATTAAAAAAAAAAAAAATCGCTTGTACGGCTTAGTAACGCGGCTTTTAAACTTTGCGCAATTGATTTGGACGCCCGTCAAAATCTCGTAGGCACTCGATCTCGAATGCGCGATCGTGAACTGCGAAATTTTCAACGAAAATATTGCACGTCATACGTCCAAATGTCTATATAATAATATGTAACCGTAAATGTCGTAAATTTAAGCAATAGTGAGATTGACTGGGTAGTCAATTCATAACATACCTGAGTAAGTTAGTCAATATTGACCGACTCGCATCGTTATTGAAAACCGATAAGGATAACTTAAATCGATATGTCGACATTTTTAATGAACAAATCATACCGTACCATATTATTATCAGAACGGTTAGTGATTTTGAGTTACATCAATTTTCCTGTGATAAAAATGCAATACGTTATCACTACATTACCGTAGTTTCTTTTATCTGCGAAATTAAATTAGTTAGATGAGATTATATGATAAGATATTTACTATTTAGATGAATACAAAATTGCTGTAAATGCAATAGTGAATTGTCTCAAAATAATACAGAATTACATTAAAATTAATTTAAACAGTTAATGTGCTAGTGTTTTAACGCGAAAAAGTAAGTAAATTTGTATATTAGATTATTAAAGTCTGAAGGAAAATGATAGACTGTTTTAAATGCAACAGTGTAGCATCTCAAAATACCTAAACTCCAATTCCATTATAATTGATTTAAGTAGTCCACTTAACAAGTGTATCAACTCAACGAAAATAAATTGAATCTTGAATAAATTAAATTTGTTTACATTTTATAGTTTAAATATTATGAAATTGTATTTATAATACATATAGAAATGAAATACTTTTTATTTTACTACTATTTAAAAACTAGTCAAATCTTTAAACTCATATTCTTTTCGGACCATAGTTTTTCGAATAAATTACTAAACTGCCGTTCTGACGGTGCGATATTTTAGTATTTATGACTTTGACTTGATAAATCGCACAATTTAATCAGATAATTTGATTAATTTACTATTCATTACACCATTTCTGGCTGTCGAACGGCTAGTGTTATCAATTATACATTTTGCCGTATTCATTTTTTCCTCTTAAAATGAAATAGGTACAGTTTTCTTCCACCGTCCATTTCTTAAAAAAAAATACCATTATTATAATTTATAATTATCCAGACAGTTTTCCTCCGCCACCTATGTTTCTCAATTTCCAACAATTTGTACACCTATATAAATTTCATATTCTGATCAAGAATATTTTTCTGGACATTTTCTACACCAAAACCAAAATATAATATGGGATATCAATCAGTATTAATAATGACATGCTAAGTGAATTGAGTAAGTTGATTCTAACTTTAAAAAAATAACTGAAAAAGGACGTATAATGTGTATTATGTTTCACCAAAGAATTTTCCGATAACATGGCAATTTGCTAATTTCGAAAAGTAATTTGTTTTTTAATTTACTAATTAACTTAACTGTTGGTTAGCATATTATGCGCACATTTGAAAACCTGAACTTGGCCAGCCTACATTAAAATTAATTATATGCGTACAATGTAGACATAATTTCATTGACTGTATCAATGCCGACCACAATGACTGGTTAACCGTGCAAACTGTTAATTTGTATTAAATTGTTTGTGTACCGTTGTCTGTCTTAGTTAGCCATTCTCCAAAATGACTGACCAATAATATCAACGCTTTTGTGAAAAACATAGATTAGCCATTTTCAATAACAACTAAATATACCTATAGTCATTGACGGTAATACATAAACAGAGATTTATACTTTTTTTTTTTGGGAGGAGGGGCAGGGAAGGGAGAGTAGAATAACAAAATATATATTATATTAATACTGACCTATTATATAGAGCACGTATTTTAGAAGAGGTTAAGTCCCCTTCATGGCTATCACTAAATTCCGCAATTCCGTAATTCCGTTTACATGTCTGTGTAAATATTTCTAATTTAACTGCCCAGTATAATAAATAATAAATGTACAAATCGAACATTCTTTTTTATCACTTTCCGGCACTTTATCAATTACCGAAAAATTCGTTTTTAAAATACAAAAACCATCACCAAAACTTTACGGAGATATCAGTTGTTATCCACTGCAGCAGCGAAACGACACGATATTTGTGTCCATAAATCGTAAAACTAAAAACAATTTTCTCTCCTGTCTTGTATACAAAACGGAACAAAGTAATTGATTTTAAATTTATGACGTTCGAGAATTTCCCGTTAGAACGCTGTAATAATATTTGCTCGCAGTGTTCGGACGGGGGTTCGGTGAGAAGTTCGTCATTTTGAAAGCTTCCTCGAGAATAAAATGTATTCGCTATAGATTACGTTCGCGCGCCGGGAAAACGTTACAGAAACATGCGATTTGATCAGAGTTTTATACGCGCGTACTACGGTTGAAACGATTACGTTGTCTGAATGGCCAGACCTGCAATAATTATTATTATTTACAATATTGACACGGTCCAGACGAATTTATCGTCCTATTATGCACACACGGTCGTTTAAATTATGCCGAAAACGAGAAAGCAGTAAAAAAAAAAAAACGATAACGAAAAGAACGCCTCAAGTGTAATTATTTTTAAGAATATATTGTAGAATACGAGATAACGACCGCGTACAATGTATCGAAAAATGAATGTACGCCACGCCGATTTCGATACGAACGTTAATTTCAATAATTTATGGCATAACATGCCAACATAACATTTTATTATTATTATAATATCATTTACTCCGGTCGATTATTAATAGGGAGAAAATTATTTTTCAAATAATAATTATTTTAATTATTTAAACGGCTACTGCGGAATTGGGCGCGTATAGTCCGTTTAAACG